CGAGAAGCGTGCCTCATAAATACGAAGCTATTTCAAAAGGATAATAAAGTTTTAATTGTAAGTGGTCGATCTAAAAAGATAAACCACTCAATCACTACGTATCGAAGCTAGCCACAATCGCCGAGGATATGATCTCACGGTCGAATATCTTGGAACATTGAATTCTCTGCAAAGGTTACCGTATTTAGCGTGTGTCTATATAGGTACCTGTCTTTGCGTATCGTCCAAACCAAAGTGTAAAACGTAGCTTTTGGCGTGGCCAGAATGGGGAGTTCGTATGGAAGGTCTCAATTTTAGTCCCCTTTCTTTGCATTCCTAATTCTTCATGTGCGTATGTGTCAGTGCACATAAAGACACGCATTAAAATCTATAAAAACGTTTTCAGGAAAATAAATGATTTAGAGTCGTACGATATGGAACAGATCATTGATGTGCGAAAGAGAGCATATATTGAAAACATGGTTCAGGTGAGCGAACATCGAAGAATCTCCGAGCCTGCTTTTTAAAGACTCCCGTATGGATCTACGCATATATCTCCACATCTATGACAACGTTACGTACTGCCAGAATATACAGCACTGAATGTGTTTCGCACCACGAGAGCGTGTTCAGGCGCCCCCCCCATGCGCTGCCTTACGAACAGCAAACACCCTCACGAAAAACCCGCGCCAAAACCCGCCCCCCTCGTCCAGCTTGCACACAAACGGTATACGCGCGTGCGGCATGAGACGACGCGTGTGATAGATGCGAGATGCCGCGCTGATGGCTCAAGGTGGCCCGGTGGCGCGCCGACAGCGCCGCCTTTGCAGGCGCTGGTCGGTCGACCGCCGCGCCAGGTAAACCGAGCCCTCCCTAACGAGCCTGGCCCGTGTACGCCCCTAATGGAGCCGTTTCTCAGAAGTCGTGTCGCACCTTTCTATGCATGTTCTTTGCCGACAGCGCCCTCCCACCAGAGACGCCGCCGCAAGATGACGAACACACGCCATACGGTGGAGCCGCGAAACATATCCTCCGGGCAATGTCTGTACCACAATACACCACGCTATGTGGCCTTCCTTCCGTGGCCGCATGTAGACGTGTCGATGAGATCGCGATACAGACAGGGGAGGGTTGGTCCAGTTTCGAAACGAAACTCGAAGAAAAAAAAAAACACGCAGGTCAGCAGGGGGTGTGTAAGACAGCCGAAGTCGCAGGATGGTTGCAACCATTTCTCAAGAACGCCGTCTGACTGCGCGCTGCACTATGCCAGGAAGCGGGCGTACTGGTAAGGCTTGCGGCGGGGAGAAACATGATACGGGCAGTTTGTTTGCGCGGCCGTGGAGGGGAGATCCCTGCACATTACACTCGCTGGAATGCGTGACAACGTCGGCGACCTTGCAAGGATTGTGTGTGGCACGTGGTTACAAGGAAACTGCCCTTGATGCAACACTGAGTCCAACGTGGCTTGCGCATTGCTTATAGTATGGCCAAGGACGACACCTTCGGTTGAAATAGCGTACAAATGTAAATTCAACTTCACACGGGCGTTGCCGAAGTTCTATTTCTATTCATGTTTTCCCAATGCGGGATGCCTCATAAACAGATGCACAATAGATGCCTGATTCATAAAAGGCATCGATTCATAACATGAAGTACACATTTATTAATTGAACACATAATGGAGGAAAAGAATGGCACTGCAGCAGCAGTGGATAGCCAGCGTTTAGGTTAACGATTAGGCATCACTATATTCATTATTCGATCACAACTTTATGTATTCGGAATTGTTTCACACAGAAGGCCTTGGACTGCATCAGCTAAAAGCAGATCGTAATCTTCTTAATCCGGATTATTACTAAGACTCTGCTATAACCAAGGCCTTGACAGCAGTGCATTCATCTACAGTAAGGTTACATGGGATATAACGGCGTGCATAAGATTTTTGCTATATAATTACAACATCAGAAACTATAGACAGCCAACAAAAGCCAGTGCTTAATGTACGCGAATAAACACAGTATTTGAATGCAGTAATTGGTGACCCGGCGTCATGATATCCACTTACACAAAGAAAGTCGAAACAGTGCGATGGACATTGTCTTCCAAGCAATATCATTGTTTACAAAGGTACGTATCTTTACAGTGTTCTTTAGCCTAGCTATCCTTACCATGGAACTTCCTATTACACGCGATTCATATTTATACACCTTCTCGCATAAGGGCTTTATACTTTTCCGTTTCAGTCACAGCTGCTCGACATGTGGCGTTGCCTGCAGCATAGCGCCCAAACATACACTTTGCAGCACATAACACATGCGGCGTGCGACACGCATCAAGGATTGCACTGTTTGTGTTACGCTTACCACGAGCACCACGGAATAATATGGCTGCTTGCATGTGGGCCACCAATCGAAAACATTGCGACCCGCTGGTGTTTCCGTTCACGCATAGTGTCGCTAAAAACACACTTCTTGCCCAAGTATAGCTTTTTTTTTCAGAAAGAAAATATAAACTATTCGTGGACTGAGAGCAAAGTTCCGGGTAAGCTTTACCAACAATTTTAAATAGATATATTTTCAATACGAGAGAACAGTCAATGATTAAGAAAGGTAAGAAAGCTCTGATGCTGATTGCCAATGCACTTTTAAGTCGCGGTTGCATTTTATTCACATTTTAATGGGTGCTTTTATCATTTGCTCTACAGTTTCAAATATAGTAAGCGCTGTGTTTGCACCTCGAAATAGCAGAGAAACTGAAACCCCTGCCTCGCGTTAGCTTGAAGTACAAAACTCAAAAAGAAATAATTCAAAATCAAAGTAGTGCGCTGTGGCGAAGTCAGTGAAATACTGTTAAAGTGTGATGTGCGAATTGGTACTTCAATTGTGTTGAGTAGGCTAACCTAACTAGATATTAAAACTGACGTATAAATCTGGCTTGGGTCTGTAAGTTTGCATATGACGGTTGTTTTCGTACTAGCATTTTGCTACGGCACTAGATGCTTATAAACGTGTTCTTGTGTAACATTCAGTCCGAGAAGCTGAAATCAGCTGATTGGTGTTCATGCATATTTACGGTGTCTCTTAGTGTTGGGCGCGTGCGACCGTTCTGACGTCATTCCTATATATATGAGAATAACGGTATAGCCGCGGCATCGACCAACTCATTCGCATAATCCGAAACACGGAATTAAGGATACAAATGAAACGATATGCAGCAAAAGTGCCAGAGGGCGATTGCACCAAACGTACACACACTCGTGATCATTGTCCGTGAAAAGCGGCTGTAGTGACAGGCTAACAACCGATGAGGGCGCAATTCGCGTGATAAGTGAAAAGGGGAGATGTACCAAAACAAACAAAAAAGAAACGCAAGCCGCAAGCCACAGTGGCGCACGCTATACGGCAGAGTCAACAAGCGCCTCGATCAATGATCTCATTATCTCTCGCGCGCCTTTTTGCCTCCCACCTAGGCAAACAAGCCATTTAGGCGTAATTGGGGCCTCGCACTGGATAATCATCTTGTCGGGAAAGGTCAGCACCCATTCATGCGGCTGCAAAGGACTTAAGCCGTAACTCTACGGCACATTTGCATGGCAATTTCTTTTCTGATGCGCGTACAAATACGTCCCTCCCATTCTTGCGGCTTCGGCTTAATGCCGTTACACTACTATGGCGCACACAGCACGGGTTGATGACACGTGTGAAAAGAGTGCGCTTAACGCCTGCTGTCATCGTTCAATTTGTAGTTTTCCAGTTTGACACTGTTCAGTATTGATCGGCATTTAACACCCCGCTTCGTTATCTTAACGTTCAACGAAGATGGAATAAAGTATCTGCCCTAAGCACAGACGATGAATGGGTAAGCCTTACCTTCCGCACTGGGTCATATATAGACTAGTCTATATTATACGGCATTGCCATCGTTAATAGCGTATAGCGAAACGGGACTACAGAAAAGATGACAAACACGACGATATTAACGTCAAAACACCGACTCGCCTAACTTTCAACTAATTTTGTCTATAGTAACAGTTATACTACACCTGTCTTCATTTAGCCACCAATTAGATAAAATCAATTTCGTTATTTCGACCCCCTTATGTGCGAACGTGCCCAGATCCGCCATCTAGCGGGGCTCACTCGTACCTACAGAAACACAGTCGTCTGAGTTTGTCCCGAAGCCACGAAAAGCACCCGAATGGTTCAGCCTTGTCCCGGGAGACAACGCAGAGAGAAGCTCCTCAGTACTACGATCCAGAAAACACACGGTTAGCTATGTGCGAGTGTTTTTGTTTCCCGCGAGGTTAGCCTCTGTGAGGTTCCGACGAAGGATGGAGGAGATGCATACCCCTTCTACGCGAAACTAAGATTTTTCGAGACCTTTCTTTTGTAGATAGCGCATGCGCCAAAACGGCTCTGCAAGCTAAGGGAACGCGCTTAGTAATCAGTCAACTTTCCAATCATTACGAAAAAAATGCGATATAATCTTTACTTCCTTCGTTTTTCCAGTCAGGGCAGTACTTGTATAGTCAATCACTTGTGCGTCTGTAGGATGCATATCGAGGCATAAAATTGACGCAAAGCCAGCCTAGGCACCACAAATATCAAGGAAGATGCAAGACGTTGCAAAGTGGTGGCGAACATGTTTGTGTGGACTACACTATCAGCTTCCAATGAACGAAACCAATTCAATCGGTCAATCATCTTGCCGGGAGTGGTCACAAATGCACCTGTTTGCACTTACATTGATGCAATATGCACGCACCATTCCATACGCGATACTAGACAAGGAAGAAGGAGAGACCGAACGATGAATCAGTACTGACTCGCCTGTCAGATTTTTAAGTACCAGCTGGTCGTTCAAGTATACCCTTCCAAAGGCCGCTCCTTCGGCGGACGTTATTTTAGTTTCTATGCCATCTACAGCTAGGTCAAAGTGGCTGCGCTCAGTCATCAATGGTTAGAGCTGTCGTGCATTCAGCAAAACGATCACCCCGAATGGACCAAATGAAGATCACTCACCGTCCCTCGGCGGTGACGGACACGGTCCACAGGGCCCACCGGGGTACGAGCTCAGGTACGGATGCGTCGGGTGCCCGCCGTACGAGTTGTGCAGGGGTCCGTTGTTGATGCCCGGAAACGGGTACGCGCCCAGGGGAGCCCTGGGCGGACCCTGCGTCTGGAACCCCGGCGGGCCGTCGTGTCCCTGCGCGCCGGGCGGCTGGTAGCCCGGGGCGCGAAGAGGGTACGGCTGGTGCGGAGCGGGCGCCGCCTGTCCTTGCAGTTCCATGAAGGCCGACTTGTCCGGGTCCAGGGGGTCGGCCACCACCCCCGACATGGGAGTCGGGTAGGCGGCCGAGAAGTCCGCGAAGTTCAGCGTGGTGAAGCTGCTGCGGCCGATCTCGCCGAGGTAGTAATCCTGAACGGACGGCGTCGCGAAACTGCGGGTGTCGGTCGCCCCCTTGGCGCCGACTGTCGGACGAGTCTACCTTTTGTGGTTAGCCCAGGACTGCGGTCCGGGGCAGCCGAAGATTGCTTTTCGCGGGTGTCACGAAAAAGCGAGCCTGCGCACTCTTGTCCTTAGGACATCTGGTGTAGCAGTCCTTTAGCCCTCTTGCTCGCAGGTTCCAATTGCACGCGACGTTCTTCGCTGCTGGTCTGCACGCGCACTAGGGGAGCTCTACAGTGACCGTGCCACTCACTAAACACAAACAATGGTCTGAGCTGTTCGCGAGCTTTTCCTGGCGCCTAATCGGCGAAGACGTCCACCCGGTCACCGCGTCACCGGTGACGACCGCGCGATCAGCAGCGTCGCGATTGGCACACCAGCCATCTCGGTTTCGATCAACGTCTTCCAGAAGGTCTTGCTTTGCTTCTCTTCCAGGAGGTCCTTCTTTGCTTCGGCGCGGATTCGCCACCCACAAACGCGTGTCACAGCTTTACGACGACGGGAACGGAACCTAAAGGAACACAAACAAACAAAAACCACGTTCCACACTCCACTGACTCGTGACGTAGCCGACGAAACGTGCTCACTGGAAGGGGGAAAAACAACCGCGCAGCGCTCCGCGGTGGCGTGTTCACGGCTCGGTCTCGGAGCGCGACTGCGGAGCGAATGCGTTTTCCCGGCGGCTTGCACGGCGAGCCTGCTTTCGCCCTCTCCTTCCTCCGCGATGACACCCTCTCTCTCTATCGAGGGCCGGCTCTGCCTGGAATCGTAGCGAGCGTTTCGAGTGGCTGCCTCGCCAGCGTACGCCACCAAACGGCAGGTACGGACCGCCTCTTTGCAAGGGCCTGCTGCTGCGACGTGGAGAAGAGACGCACTCGTCGGCCTTCCCGCCTTTTTTCGCTCTTCTTCCCCCCCCCCCCCCCCATGCACACGTTGACGCTGCTGCGACCCTCGAGGGGGGGGGGGGGGGTGTACGCGAAGCGGCGAGAGGATTAGTAGGTGCGAGCTGCCTACAGAGCGTACGTCTGTACCGTATGGCAGCTTGTTTCGGCGGACGCAGGACACAGCATCGCGGCTCGTATTGCTTGTAATGCGGAACCGGTTTCCGCTTTGGTCACCCAGGGTTGAAATTAAGAAGTTTTTTTCAGGAAATAGGTGCCAGGGCAATCACTAGCTGTTTCAATCGCGGTGGACTGCGTGAAAGAACACGAAGGCTTGTCAGCGATTTGAGAAGCGTGAGGTAACGAAATGCTGGTCATGCTGATGACAGTATTTTTCCTGTTCCTCTTTAAACTACTTTCACTGGCGGGATGTAATTATCTGATAAAGATAATTCCTAAACGAACTACACTACCGATTTTACCCGCATGCTACCCGCACTGGCCAATCTGGCTGTATGAGGGCTAGTGTCGACTAGCGTTGGCTAATGTATGCTTCCTGATGCCACAAGTAAATCATAGGCGTTATTAAACCTCGTTTTAGCGATCCTCTTGTGTAGCAATGAAGTTATGCTGTCTCTGGATAAGGTTTGCCACCTGTCCTTTTTAGACCAGCCCGGCTGGTATTTTATCTAGGGTATATATATATATATATATATATATATATATATATATATATATATATATATATATATATATATATGTATATATATACGAGCAGTAAACATGGCGTCCCCAATGCCAGCTGGACATTGTGCGGCAAATACACAAAGCGTTTATTTTTCTTACTAAGACATACTTGAAATGTGACATACAATAGTTGTGAAACGAGACCAAGTTATCTGTAACGTCGTCTACATTGAAATAGGATGCCTTTCAACCTAAACTGTCGGTGAAGGTTGCGAGCATGCCAAACCGAAACTGGAACTCAGATCGTCTTCAAGCTGCCGGACTACTTCCGCAGTAATACAAACGCAAAAATGTTACCTTTCCCTCACACCATCCCCCCCCCCCCCCCCCTAATCTTTCGGCTGTCGACACGGGTAGGGTAACGGTAAGATGGGACATGGCGGCAGTAAAAAATTTTTGCAAACAGCTTTTATCAGTTCTTATATTCTACATGTATCGTCCATCTTCCTGACATGCGCACTGACATGAGCAGCCATGAATAATCAACAAAAAGGTGCACCACCGTGCTTTATCTAAATTTTAGTGACAGGAAAAATGAATGAAACTCTTCTTTCTTTTCTAGGCAGTTCCGGTCGAGCACTTGCTTCTAGTTTTTCGACTTTCTGGAAAATTAATATTTAATATTGAACCCACACGAAATCTACAATACTGCACGGTTCGGGGAGGCATTTAAGTTATGTGCACATAAGAATTAAGCGTAATTTGCATAAAATAAAAATCAATTAATTATCAAGATGGTGAAAGAATATTGATTACATTATTTCAATTAAAGAACAGGCGCTTTATTCACAAGAAGCTGTAGAACCGTTGCGCCACCCTGTGGAGAAGATCTGAACCACACGCTTCTTTCTTCGTGGCCTCTAAGATTGGCTTCGGAAGCGTAAGAAACACAGTTACCCCAAGGAATACGCCAAGAGACACGAACGCCAACGTGCGAATGCCCTTACCAGGCTACTATGCAAAATGATTAAGGTGGCCTCAATATTTTCTAGCCACAGGTACACATTGGCCGTTTCCGTGCTGTTTCGCTGTGGCCGGTGGCCACACCGCGAGCTGAACTGTCGCCTAGCAACCACCGCAGCTGGCAGCGCCGCTCGCCGCGCCATCTGGCATGACATCGGAGAAGGAGCTGGTGAAACCGCGTAGCTACGACAGAGGAGGAGTCGGCATTGCAACGTATATATAGCAGAGGAGGCTTGGTCGGATTCATTGGCAGATATGAAAGCTGAGTAGGAGAGACTGAAAGAGGCTTCGTCGTATGAACGAAACCAAGAAGAGGCAGCGAGTCGAGGAGACGGAGGTGTAAGAAGTCGTACGCCTCGAGAAGCGTATACCCGTACAAGGAACCAAGCTAAACAATAGTATTGTCTGTATACCTTCTGCTGCGCATACCCAGACATAAAACCGTTAAGCCACAGGGAATGTTTTAACTGCTTTTGTGCAGGGCCAGATCTAGGAATTTACTTTGGGGGCGGGGGGGAGATACGTATGTATTGCTCCTGATCGAGTCACTTGCGTCGTGTCGAAGAGCTTGCTTGAAACGCAACAGAGAGCTACCAGGGATCCTTAGAAATAACTCGGGTTAAATGCATTCGCACGTGCAGTCAGAAGATGAAAAAAAGAAATACTCAAAAGGTTTTGTCTGTAATTGCTATCGATGGTTTCAAGTATATACCGAACTTAATACGAATGAGCTAGAACGATCGCGCTTTCATTATAGTACTTTAGTTTGACGCTTTTACGATCTGAAGATTCAGTAACGATGGACTGAACGATAGTTATAGCGCGAGAACAAAACGACGACACAGAGACAAGAAGGACACAAAAGACACGAGCGCTGCCACACTTCTAAGATGGACTGAAGTCTCAAGGCCTCCGTCGGTGGCAAAGCTTTTTTTCTCACGATTCGATGCAAGCATATCACTCGTCGTTTTCTTTTTGTTGGAACAACAAAAATATCGATCACGTTTTGCAACGTCGTTTGAGCTGCCAACAGCACAGCAAGTTGGGATCGTGCTGCAGCTGATGCCTAACAATACGTAAAGGGTCCAGCATCAATGGCACCGCGAACGCTTTCCTAAATGTTTTACGGAACTCTTCTGGTTAACTTCTACTTGATTATGCCTAGGTATTAGAACCCCCGCACTGCTCCTAGCAGACAGGCGGATAGATTGCTAGCGCCCCACCGCGGTGGTTTGGTGGCTAAGGTAGTCCGCTGCTGACCCGAAGGTTGCAGAATTGAATCCCGGCTGCGGAGGCTGCATTTTCGATGGAGGCAAAAATGCTGTAGGGCCATGTGCGCAGATTTGTGTGGACGTTTAAGAACCCCAGGTGGTTGAAATTTTCGGAGCCCCCTAAAACGTCGTCTCTCATAATCATATGGTGGTTTTGGGACGTTAAACTCCACATATCGATCGATAGCTTGCTTGCTTGCTTGTGCCGATGTTTTGGCTCGTACCGACCACGGGGTCATTCCCCGTGGTTAATGCGAGCATGTTTTCGCTGTACCTACCGAACTCTATAGAGTCGCCCCGCCGTGGTAGTCTAGTGGCTAAGGTACTCGGCTGCTGACACGCAGGTCGCGGGTTCAAATCCCGGCTGCGGCGGCTGCATTTCCGATGGAGGCGGAAATGTTGTAGGCCCGTGTGCACAGATTTGGGTGCACGTTAAAGAACCCCAGGTGGTCTACATTTCCGGAGCCCTCCACTACGCCGTCTCTCATAATCATATGGTGGTTTTGGGACGTTAAACCCCACAAATCAATCAATCAACTCTATAGAGTTAGGATGGTACAACGCAAACATGTTCGGAACGTTGCCTTGTTTTGATCCTGTTCGGATCTCGTACACTTGGGAAACACGAGACATTTTTTTTGCAATTTCGGTTAACCGTGTATATACAGGCCCGCACGCAAGAAATATCGGCAAAGGAGCTTTCCCGGTAAAGGAGCGCCATCGTATAACTTTCCGTGCCCACATGTAAACACTCGCTACGCCTGCCGGGCAGCAAGGCTTCCGATGAAAGGGTTGATGCCTTCCTTGCACTCCCCGTTGCCCCCCATTCATGGCACTACCACGCGGTGTCTGTGCCATGCGTGTAGATTGTTACAGGGTGAATGCCACGGAACGCCCTTCGACGCTGGAGGCAGGCGCCTTTCGTGACTTCACAAAGGTGGCGACGGCTACAGCTCATGCATTCCGCGTAAACGAGCCTTTTCGCAGCGTGGTGCCTTGCTTAAGCATGCGCCGCTGTCGCTTCCGGGAACTACAGCTTCGGCGGCGGCCCCGTAGCCAAAGGGTTTCCGGTGACTCTTCCCCCTGGCGGCTGTGTGTGTTGAGACGGTGGTGCAAAGGAAAACAAATGTTTGTCGCACTCTTACTTTTTGAAAGCCTTTCCATTGTTGCCTTTTGTAGCGTACAAGGTACATAAAACTGTTTGTTTGTTTGTTTGTTTGTTTGTTTGTTTGTTTGTTTGTTTGTTTGTTTGTTTGTCCTCTTACGTGTCACCTCTGTGGGCTCCAGTTTGCCACTCGTTATGTAGCCCCCTCCCTGAGCCCGCTATGGGTATGAAGGCGATAGTTGCACGGAAACACGTTGGCTTAGGAATAAACGTGACACTTAAAACAACGTGCCAACCACGATTAAAAGCAAATAAAAGTACAACTTTTCGGCCCCCGTACGGGAGTCTTGTTCACAAGTCTTGGCAACAGGGCTCCAATATACTTGCGAACTATCCAGTATGGGGGCCAAAACGTCTTGCTTTTATTTGCTTTTATCGTGGTCAGCGTGGTGTTTAAAGTGTATCCTTGCAATAGATATATATATGATCATGGCTCATCGACCACTGCATTCTGCATGGCGTTCGCAAGGAACC